GTCCAGAAGTGTATCCAGGCATTGACGCAGGACTGGGAGGCTCAAAAAAATTTTGTTTCCAGGCTAATTAGAATAAGAATGGAATATTTCCTCATGCCTCAGCCTTCCTAATGCTAATAATTTTAGCAGCTTGGTTAAAGCAACTCCATTTTATATATTCCCTATCTTCGTTCTATGCTCAGCAGACATCATCCACATTTATCACTTTAAGAGCCTGGAGCAGATTCCTTCCTGGTGATAATCCCCCTGCTGGTAGAAACTAGGGTAGTGTCCAACTTTTACTAGTATAAATAGCTTCCCTGGGAAAATATTTATAGTTAATATCATACTTTATAGCTAAATATATCTCTCTATGTAGATATATACATCTCTCTATATCGATATGTAAATATATCTGTTTGTCAAAGTGGAATTAGGAAGTCTAAAGGTGGGGGAGTTGCTGTGACTGTGGTTTCATGTTGTCAAATAGCCCTTCAAGTATTACACATGGAACCAATGGGCAAGTCGACCAGGGTAAGACCTAGTGGCGCGTGCGCGTAATACCCACATTGGCCACTAGGTGTCAGGCCTTTGCCGTCTGTTCCCAGGTGGCTTTTTCTAGGCGAATCGATTTGCTCCAGCAGGCAACCCCAGCCAAAGATATGGTTCTTTTTCTGCCGGAAGCCTATGTCTTTTATAGAATAATGCTTAGCTTTCCCTTGAGCTTAAAAGCCATCACCGAAAAAACTAAGGAAAGTATAAGATGAGAGGAAAAACTGCCCATAGTGCTGCTTCCTGGGTATAACCACCATTATGTACTTTTGGTCTTTTTCTGTTGTATGTGCAAAGCAGTAATATCTGTGACAGACACTGCCCCAAAGGTTTTCTATACATGCGTTCATTTAATCTTCACTCCAGACCAAGAAGGTAGGGACAATTCTTTCCTGTTATTATTTTAGTTACATATTTGTACAGCCTGATTGAGATATATTTCATATATTGTAAATTCTACCATTTAAGGTGTACAGTTCAGTATTTTTTGGTATATTAATGGAATTGTACAACCATCTCATAACTTAATTTTAGAACATTTTTGATACCCCCAAAAAGAAATGCCAAACACATTAGCGGTCAACCCCCATTCCCACTCCTGCCCTTTCCCCCATCTGGAAGGGACTATTCTTTTTTGATTATTAATTAATTAATAATTAATTTTATGGTGGTAAGAATATTTAACATGAGATATACCTTCTTAAATTGTAAGTGCACAATACAGTATTGGCAACTGTAAGCTCAATGTTGTATAACAGATCTCTATAACTTACTCATCTTGCATAACTGAAACTTCATACCTGTTGAATAGTGACTCTCCAATCCCCCCCAACCCCCCCGCCTCTCCGACACCCACCACTACACTCTCTGCTTCTATGAGTTTGATTACTTTAGATACCTCAAATACGTGGAATCACACAGGATTCATCGTTCTGTGACTGGTTTATTTCACTTAACGTAATGTCCTCCAGGTTCATTCCTGTTGTTGCAAATCACAGGATTTTCTTCTTTTTTTTAAATGCCTGAATAATATTCCGTTGTGTGTACAGACCACATATTCTTTATCTTCTGTCGATGGACACTTAGGTTGTTTCTACATCTTGGCTATTGTGAATAATGCTGTAATGAACATGACAGTAGAGATATCTCTTCGAGGTCCTGATTTTAATTCTTTTGGATAAATACCCAGAAGTGGCATTGCGGGGTCATGTAATAATTCTATTTTTAACTTTTTGAGGACCTCCATACTGTTTTCCACAGGTGGCTGCGCTGTTTTACATTCCCACTAACAGTGTACGGGGTTCCAAATCCTCGGCAACGCTTGCTACCTTTCGTTTTTTTGATAGTGACCATCCTAACAAGTGTGAGGTGATAGCTCATTGTCATTTTGATTTGTATTTCCCTGATGATTAATGAGGGAGGAATTATTCTTATCTCAAAACTACAGAATAGAACACTGATGTCCAGAGATGAACTTATCCAAAGGTCACGTGACTGGTACGTGCATAGGAGCTGGGATTCAAACCCAGACAGCAAAGCCCCAGAGCGTGCGGCCCTGTCTTTCAGGTGCTTAGCAATTCTGTAATCATGCTGTTTTGTATTCCGTTCTTTTCTCTTAATGTCATATTAGAATGATTTTCCATAACATTACATGTTCTTCTGACATAGGATTTTAGGGTAGCTGCAGGATGGTCTAGCTATGCTGTGGACACTCTATGTTCAATGGGCACTGGGCTGCCCTAGGTTTTTCCTTTTGTAAGATGCTCTGTGGATTACATCCTGGCTTGCAGATGTTTCTGATCATTGCCTTAGCGTAAATCTTAGAAGCAAAATTGCTGGGGCAAAGGCCATACATATTTAAGGACAGGTCATCTCCAAGAAGATTGTACCAACTTACACTCTTACAAGATGTGTTCAAGAGCTATCTTTTCCCTTTTCCTCATATTCCCTCCCAACAAAAACTATAAATCTCTTGGTGTGCAATTGGTAAAGGATAAAAGTGGAGGGTGGGAGAAATTGTTCCTTTGATGATCAGAATTCAGCCTCACGTTGGCGGCATAGGCTACAAATACAGAGCCTCAGGAACAGTGCAGCTCATCAACAGACACAGCTTCAGCCCCGGCCACAGGTTTGTTCAGGGGAGTAAAGTCTGACCGTTTACAGTTGATATAATGGCAGTCAGCCACGCTGCCACCACGGGTGTCTCCCACCATGGATGCAGCAGTGTGCTCTAGTGAGAGCACTTACTAATTCCCCCATTTATGTAGCCCATATGTACTGATTGAGGGCCTACTATGTGCCTGGCACTCAGTGCTGGAGCCGGAAGATGGGAGGAGACTTCCCTCATCTGTACAATGGGGGCAGATGCCTTGCAGGGGGTCACGGGGAAGACAGTGAGATGGCATAGGTAATCAAGTAGAGCTATTATTATTATTACTCTTATTGTAATAATAAGTGGAGTAAGTGCTGGTTTCTGACCAAGAGAGACGTTGCTTATGGTTTCATGAAGACCTGCTTGGAAAACGAGTTTTACAAACAGTTTACTTGAGTCTACCTTACGTCCAGTTCATGATATGTACTGTTTGTTTAAAAACAATATCGATTCTGATCCCACCCTTTCCTTGCCCTTTATCAGCTCTGCTTCCAGCCCTCTTTTGCCTCCCCTTATGCTGATCATAATCCCATGCCATCCCAAAGGGATTGAGTACACATAACCATGGACATACAGTGGCTTTACGCACAGATGGTGACTGCAGGGTTTGGGGGTGTGGTGGCAAGGTTGAGGTCACTGTCACTGTCCCAACACCACTGGAAACCTTTCCCTGGCTTTCTGAAAAGAAAGCTGATTATTCACTTGGCCTCCTATCCAACGTTGCTATTGTTATCTCCATCTGGCACCCATCGTTATTGGAATAAGTGATCTCTTTATATTTCTCCATAACTCAACCATGGGTTCCTAATTCAGCCCTCTACCCCACAGGTCTACTGCAGTGCCTGGTACATAGTGGGTGCTCAGTACATATGTGTCGAACAAAAGGGTGATGAAGGAAGGAAGACATCACTTTCGCTGACGTTTGTCTCACCTGAGTAAAGGGCAGTACTATGCATTGAGATGGGGCTCTGTTTCCACCTTCTTTCCTGCTCTTTCTTCTGTCTGGGCCCCCTTCCCTCTGTCTTCTGACCTCTGCTGCTACCATCCTCGGCCTCTGCCTGGGGTCTCCAGGTGGGAAGAAGTGATGCCCCCACTTCAAACTTGCCAAATCATGGCAGCTCAAACCAAATGGTTTTGGAGCTATCCCCCTGGAGGAAGCTCAGGATGGTATGCTTGGAAGGCTGAAGGCTTTGTGCACCCTGGGTCATCCTTTATATGAGAGTCTACCTTCCCAAGACAGACTTGGAGGCCATGCTGGGTATCTGAGGAGTAGGAATGGTCCAGGCATCCACATGGGCCTGTCACCTGGGGAGCAGGGCTGGAAAGGACATTGCAGGTATGGGTGGCAGAGAGCTGATGACGGGGTCTTTTCCTGCCTTGTGTGTGTGTTGGGGATACAGAATGGAACCATCCCAGTTTGAAGGACCTCACCTAGAGCCCCCTGGAGCAGAAGCCCACTGCCAAACATCCTTTGAGATGGGAAGGATAAAAATCTATTCTTATCCCTTACCATTCCCCGAATGAAGGGGTGGCAGAGTTTGTGGGGTAGTTACAAGCTCTTCTGTTGTCTAGAACATCCCTCTGCTACTTCTTTTGGGGACTGCTTCTGGCCAGCTCCAGCCATTGGTTCTGGAGGAAACTGTGAATCACCATTCACAGCATAGGCAGACCATGTGACCAAGTAGAGCCAATCATAGTATCCCATGACCCAGCCACAATGGTTGGTCCAAGGATGGACACATGACCTGAGGTGGACCAATCAGAGCCCTCCTTGGTACTCTGCTCTTTTCTGAGCTTCTCTCCTTTCCAGTTAGATACCTTCAGGATGTGAAAATCTGAGGATGGCAGCAGCAAAGTTCTTCACCATGTGTAGAAGCCCGAAGAAAGCTGTCAAGTGAGGAGAATGAAAAATGAGAGAAGGGGTAAAGAGAGGGAGAGAAAGTGAGCTGATGGCTTTTGATTTCTTGGATCCAGTCCCTGAGCTCTTTGGACCTGCTCTGGTCCCTGCATCCTGGACCCCCAGTATCCTTCCAGTAACTGTCCCTTTCTGATTAAGCCAGCTGGTATTGGGCTCCTCTCACTTGTGGTCCAGACTAGATTTTAGAGTCCTTGATTCTTACGCACTTCCAAAATCCAAAGAGAGGCACCCATTGATATTAGCACCATTGAAAATGAGATCCTTTATTTTCTACTGAAAATAGGGCTTTGCAGAGGACCAAACACAGTTCAAGCCAGTGCCCCTGGACAGGGACACCCCGAATGTATGTGTGAGTGTGTTTGGGGCGGGCCTGGTTGCTTCCTGGAGCAGTGCTAGCATTTACACTGACACCACAGGAGCCAGGCCAATCCTGTCGTTTTCTCGATCGAAAACGGTGAAATACAGCCTGAGGAAGACGTCACCCAGGACCCAGAGATCCAAGTCGAGTGAGGTGCTTTCAAAGTTGCTGTAGCAGAGGTCAGAGTCAACCTGGAGGAGACAGAAACACACACCAGTCAGCCTGAGCCCTCACCTACCACCCCCTTCAATACTCAGAGCCCGCAGCTTCTCAGTCCTGTTTCCCGCCTTTCCCATGAGCCAAGTGGCTCTTTCTGCAGTTGCAGAAACGGGGCGCCCACCCAGGAACTGAAATTGCCTGTAGTTCCCCTCACACTCTGCTGTGTTTTTCCTTGGGACTCATGCTCAGGCTGTTCCCTCTGCAGAGACTGCTTTTCCTTTTCCCCTTCAGCCCCACTCATCCTCGAAGACTGAGCTCAGCCCCCTCTGGACAGTCTTTCTGGACCCACACCTGCTCTCCTTGGCCACTCCAGGCTGGGCGGGGTGAATTCCCCCGGAGCTCCCTGTGTGTTTAGCCCTCATCACACCCAGGCGCCCCTTTGCACAACTCTGTGGGGTGTCATTTGCATGGAGCCTAGTGTAGACCTGCCTTGACCCAGGCAGGCCTCCTCGTGCCTCCTTGAGGCTGGGGGCTTAGAATTATTTAAACCCCTCTTTTCCTCAAAACCTTCTTTGAACCTATTCAAGCCTCCTCTGAACTCTCATGGGACCTGACATGTATTAAGCCTCAACTATGTGCCAGGTGCTGTGCGATCACTGTGCATCCTTTATTCACGTCAGCAGCTAATCATCCCCACAAAGGGAAGGGTTGGTACCCCGTTTCACAGAGGGGGACTTGGGCTTAGCCAAGGGAAGCTGTGACCTAGGACTGAGGTGACTATATGATTTATCATCCAAACCATGACACTTTCGAGATGGGAAGGGAGCACTGTTAATAACTATGGTGGGACAACACACTGGCACTGTCCCCAGCCAACCCCACCTGTCCCTAATTCCTTTGGCCTATTCCCAGGATTGCTACAGCTGACTTCCCATGTTCATCCATCTGAGTGCCTGGTTGCACTAAAGTTCTTTGAGGTTAGAGGCCCTTGGTGCTCTCCTCTCCTGGTGCCTAGCACTGTGCCAGCACGGGGCTGCAGCTCCATGTTTATTTGAGGATGATGGATGCCCCAGACAGCCCTTTGCTATCAAGAGGTTTGTTTTGTGGGAGGTGCCAGCCCAGCCTGGTGAGCTTGGCAGCATCTGCAATGGCTCAGCTTGGCCTCCAGGGGGCCTCTTCCTTCCAGCAGCAGCCCAATGGGACCTGCGAGTCCCAGACCTGAGAACCAGCTCCCAGGGTTGGCGCCTCACCTTCTGGATATAGGCTGTGGCTGGCACTGGGTACTTGACGCCATTGATGGTGAAGATGACGTCAGGCAGGGTGTTGGTGGTGTTACAGTCGACGACGTGCTGTTGGAGAAAGAGGGAGAGGCAAGTTTGGCCCAGTTGATCCTTCTGTGTGTGGAGAGCCCCAGAGTGACCCTGTGGCATGACCCTTCACCTCGCCAGTGTTGGTGCGCTGGGCGTTGATGATCTTCAGGATGTTGAGGGTAGGGTCTTTTGGGCCAAACAGCAATGCGGTTCCGGTATCCACGACAGCCTGGCAGCCGCCCTCACAAGCAATAACCTTCCCGTTCACGGAGATGCTGAGACAGGGGAACCAAGCAGCCACCAGGATCACTCTGCGGCCTCCCCCCACTATTGTCCCCTCCCTGACTGTCTCCGGAACAGTCAGTCCTTCAGGTCGTGCCCGCCTCTGTGTCCCTTTTTTTCTGGTCACACTGACCTTTGACTTTCTTTCAGTTCTTGAATACACCAAGCTCGTTCACGCCTCAGGGCTTTTGCCCAACTAGAACTACCCCGTCCCCTTTGTCTGGCTAATTTCTCTTATGCTCCAGGTTCCAGCTTAATTGTCACTTTTTCAGGGAAGTCTTCTGCCTGGGCTAGATCGGGCTCCTCTCCTAGTCACCCTCGGAATACCCTGCCTCATTTCTAGCATGTATCAGAGTGGCAATTCATTACTTGTGTGACTTGATCTTTCATGTATGTCTGCCCTACTGGGTGGTGAGGTCTGTAAGAGCAACTTATATCCTCAGTGCCTCCCTCAAGTGCCCAGCACACAGTGGATACTCAACGTGTGTTTGTTGAATGAATGAGTGAATGAAGGAGGGCCCACTGGAGACATGTATCTTGGTGTCTGACAAGTTGTGAAAGCCACACAGAGAAGATGGAGGTTCTTCTGGGCAGCAGAAGCTCAGAGTGGCAGGAAGGGAGCTGTGTGTTGTTTACCTGCTTCCTCATCTCCACCCCCCAGACACAGGGGCCCCTGGCCAGGCAATGCCTGGGCTAGCCCAGCGGGCAGGATGTGGGCCTCCAAAGGACATTTTAAACTTTCTCTGGTGGTATTGCACAGAATCCCATTCATTATGGCCCCCTTGTTCTCAGGCTCCCCCTGAACCCCCAGCTTCCTGATTCACTCTGACACAAACCCTGCCCCACTTCAGAATGGGAGTGGGGTGGGGTTATCTCTTTGTGTGATTGGCTTTCAGGTCTCCAGGGTAAAGCCGACACCTCTCCACTGCTGGGTGGTCAGCCTTCCCGTTTGTCCAGGTCTTTCCCGGTTTTCATACTGGTGGTCCCATGTATGGGGAACACCCTTAGTCTCGGATGACCTGGGACAGTTAGTCACCTTATCATGACCCAGTTCAGACTGGTGAAGTTCTCTTTGTTCTCTTTTTCACTGCAATCCACCCCATAGCATGGTGAGTGCAACCCTCTCAGGCTGCATGGGCCTCTTCCCAGAGAGTTCAGTCCCCAGGGCTGTCCCCTCTCATCCTGCTCCATGACTTAGGCCCGATCCAGCTTCTCAGCTCAGGACACTGGTCAGGAGTCCTGGGGCGATTATGAACCCATGTTGGTGTGTGTCTGCATGTCTGTATGTCAGTGTGTGGCTATGTGTGACTTTGTGGACCTGACTGTAAGTGTGTGTCTATGTGTGCATCTGTGTGCATCTGCCTGTGCATGTCTGTACATGTCTGTGTCTGTGTGTGTCTGCTCATGTCTGTGTCATGTGTGTGTGTCTTTGTGTCTGCCTGAGTCTATGTGTGTTTGTATGTGTCTGTGTCTGTGTACTTCTGTGTGTCTGTATGTGCGTATGTGTCTGCGTGCACGTGCATGTGTGGAGACATCATTGGTGTGGCCCTCAGAGGGAGGGGCTTACCTGTCCATGGCTATCTGCCAGTAGCCATGTTTGGTCACTGGCACCCACTTCAGGTCTCCCTTGTAGTAGGATGGGTCCACCTTGCCGAACATCACCACGCTGCCCTCCTTCTCGTGGCTGATGGGGAAGGCAGAGGGAAGGCTCATTGTGAGGGGAGAATAAAGGGGGGCTTTTCCCAAGCTCGGCAACACACCAGGCACTCAGGGCTGCGCTTATCAGTGATAACTTACCCACACATCACTCAGCCCTGTGGAGCAGGCACTACCGTGACCTTCATTTCACAGGTGGGGAAGTTGAGGCACAGAGGGGCTGAGTAGTTGCCCAGGGTCAGTCACATGGCTAACGAGTGGCAAAGCTAAGGTTTGATCTTGGACAGTCTGGCTAGGCTCCGACCACCCCCCCTTTTCTGAAGGCAGCCAGGTCCCCTCCAGAGACCAGAGTGCTCAGAGATGCTGTTGGAAGATGCTGTGCTAGAGGGGACTAGCCTCCATCTCATCTAGTCTGTCATTTTTCAGAAAAGCTGAGGCCGGTGGGAAGCCGTGGGCTGTGTGTTCAAGTTCACACGGGGCTGGCTTCACAGGCCTGCGACTTGTGCCATCCACAGGGCCCACGCTCATCAGGTCCCCGCGCCTCTGCTGTTCGTCTTGAACAAGAAGCCCCCCATTTTTTCATTTTGTGTTGGCTCCTGCCAATTGTGTAGCTGGCCCTGGGCTCGCAGTAAAATGTTAGTGAGGGAGAAAGCATCCCTGCCCGCTCTTCCTCCTGCTGCATTGACCCCATCAGCAAGTCCTGTGCCTTTTCTTCCTGTGTATATCCTGACTTCCTCTTCCCTCCACCTCCCTGAACCAAGCTGCCACCCTCTCTCCCCTACAGAGGCTGCCCAGCCTCTTCCCTGGGCCTCCTGCCTCCTCTTCGGTCCGTCATTCTCCAGCATGCACACAGGGTGAGCTTTCAAACATGCAGATCTGATCATGTATTTTCTCTGCCTAACCCCCTCCACTCCCACCTAGAACACGACTCTGGGGCAGTCTTGCCCGTGCCTCCCCCCACCCCCAAGCCTTTTCCCCTCCCCTCTCCCTGACGCCCTCCCAGTGCTTCAGCCACACTGGCCCCTTGCTGGTCCTCTGATGTGCTTTGGGGCCTTTGCACTTGCTCCCGGCATCTCTACCCTTACTACCCACCCTAGAACTTTGCCTGTCTCCCATCACACGTTCTCAGTTCAGAGAGGCCTTCGCCACTGCCCATCTAAAACCACACTCCCATCACTGGCCACTGTCACTTGGTTTTATTGCTTTCCCAGAACCAATTACTATCTGGACTTATCTTTTCCCCTTTTTAAATTTACTTATTTCTTGCCTGGCTTTTCTCCCTCTTGTCTGTCTCCTTCTCGTGCACAGAGCAGTATCCAGCACATAGTAGGTGTTCAATAAATATTTATTGAATGAGTCATCTTCTTTGATTGGGTACAAGAATCCCAGAGGCTTAGGGAGGCTAAATAATTTGCTGCACTTCATGCTATAAAGCTGGGAACTCAGATCCCCCCAGAGCCCACAGCCTCAACCACACTCTCTGCCTCCTACTCAAATCTGTGGGGACCACCTCTGCCTTTGGTGGGAAGACAATCTGACAACAGGGTCCTCCTCTAGTCTGTGCTTCTCTCCACGCCCCCCACCCCACAGCCGCTCAACCAGTCAGGGACTTCAGCTTTTCCTGCTACTGAGCCCAGTGACTCTGGAGACCTGCTGATGGCTTGACCCCCACTGTGGGGGACAGTGCTGAGGGCGAGTTTGAGTCCTGCCACTACCAGCACCTGACTGGGCAATTTTGTGCAAAGCTCCTCTCTGAGCCTTGATTCCTCCATCTGTCAAAGGAAGGACTTGAGCCGCAGGGGTCAGCAAACTTTTTAAAAGGCCAGATGGTCATATTAAAAGGCCAGAGGCTCTGTAGGCTGCATGATCTGTGCTGCAATTTCATGATGCTGCCATTGCAGAGCAAAACCAGCCATAGACAGGATGTAACTGAATGAGCAGAGCTGCGTTCCAATAAAACTTCATTTATGAAAACAGGTGGCGGGCCAGATGTGGCCCTGGGCCACAATTTGCTGAACCTTGGACTAGACTATCTCTCAGGAAACTCTTGGATCAGGTCATCTATAATTTTTTATGCAACTAGAAGCATCTTACAGCTGATTTGGAGAAAGGGCTTGTCCAGCCCAGACTTACCTACTCAAGTAGAAGGCGAAAAGCTTCTGAGAAATGAGGCCTTGTTTCCATAGGTTGTCGAAGACAGGGGTGGCCCCTTGGAGGGCGATGCTGGGGTAGCTCAGGCCCAGGATGCCATCAAAGTCCCCATGTTCTAAGGATTGGATGGACGCCGTCTGGCTCAGGCCAAATGCCTGGGACACGTCGACAAGGCCCCCAATCTGTGGGAGAGGAGGTCATTCTCGTGTAAAGGTTTGGGAAGTGGGGCTGGGGCTGGGCAGGGATGGAGGTGTGTGGGCAGATGCCACTAGCACCACAGGGGTCGGCTGAAGCCTGGCTGTGCCCTGGGCTGACCTCAGATGGTTATAAGAAGCCAGAATAGGGATACGGGTTCCCTTTGTGCAGCACTGTGGAGTTTAACCCACACCTGCTCCTCCTGCTAACATCCTCTTAGTCAAATACGCTTTATCCCTTCTGTACAGGTGGGGAGACTGAGTCTCAGAATGGGACCAAGTGGGAGAAGAGAGAAGGATAGTCTTCTGTTTGGCATTACCGTAATCTGATGACAGAAATGGAGTGAATTCACTGCAATTTACTGTGGAGTACGCATTTCCCTGGGAGACAGAAGCCAGTTATACCATGTAGCTGCCAGGGTTCTTATGAAAAGTCTGCCTGGGAAGTACACTTTTGTGTGTGTGTGTGTGTGTGTGTGTGTGTGTGTGTGTGTGTGTAGGCAGCTCATAGTTTTAATTAGATTTTCATAGGCCCCCCAAAGTAAGAACTCTCTTATCAGGGCCCTCTCCTGCTTTCCTGGCCCTGGTGTCTGGAGCTCTCGGCAGCCCTCAGAGGCCCCGATCAGTTCTGACCTCTCCTGAAAAATACCCCACACCTGCACGAGTCCTGCCTCGCATCCCAGCTCTGCCGCTCACCAGGTGTGTGATCTCGGCAGGGCACTCATTTCTCTGTACCTCAGTTCCCTCGTCTGTATAATGCAGATAACAGTAGTGCCTGCCACATGGGGTGGTTGCAGGATTAAACAGGTTATTACAATGAAAATGCCCAGCACAGTGCCTGGCACAATCTGAGAATATAAAAGTGGGTGGTTTTCCCTCACTTCTCCCTGCCCCCAGCAAAATCAGCCTTGCACTCACCATGGGGAAAGGGACTGTAAATCCATGTCCCCAAGCCCCTTCAGCACCAAGACCCACCCACTGGGTTAGCCACGTTGGACGTTTGTCTGTCAGCAGGGCCACTGTCTCCCCAGAAACACAGCCCCACAGGGCGGGTGACCAGCTGCTGCGGGACTTTGGGAAGGACAGGCGCTCCCAGCTGACTCTGTGTCTCATCCTCTAAGCAGAGCCCTGCCTCAGCCTCTGGTTACCACCTTACCTGGACAGTGTCATAGCCGAGAAATCCCTTCACAATCCCAGAGCCGTAGCTGAGCATGATGCGTTGGCCCGTTTCCCAGAAGGTGGAAGACAGCCAAGGGTTGAAGAGATTGTGTTTAGCTGCAGATGCAGGGGGTGAGTATCTGTCAGCCTCCCAAAGGCTGAGGGAGGTGCCTGAGACGGGGTTTGGGGACACTCACCACAGGCCTGGCTGGAGCAGTAGATGGAGGGCACCCATAAGTCAGCTGAACCCGTGTCAAAGATGACCCTGAACTCCTGAGGGGGGGTTCCAATCTTGATGGTGCCAATGTAGGACAGCTGCCAGGGCCAGGGAGGAGCGATTAGGGCAGCCCTGGCTGCCCTGGCCACCCCTTGTCCCCAAGATGCCTACCTCTGTCAGAGCGTCTCATGTCTTCTGAAATCACTTTCCAACCACCCCACCTTACAGCCACTGCTCAGGCCAATGCCTGCATTTGAAAAGTTCTCCAGTCTCCCCTGCAGCTCTCCAAATCCTTCCACCCTTCATGGCCCAGCTTGAGTGCTTCCTCCTCCAGGAAGCCCTCCTAGCTCACCCTAGGCTGCTTCCTCTAAACTCAAAACGTGTGCTGTCAATACCATGCCGTGGCACTTTTAGTTGACATGTATTTACTCCTTGCCTATCTCTTCTTACAGAGAGACTAAAGCCTTTCTTATCAAGAACAATAACCATGTCAGTATTTTACAACCTCACGCACTGCAGGGGCTCAATAACTTTTTCCTGTGTCATTCTTGAGGCTTCGGAGGCTGAACTTCCTCTGTCAGGGGGCATCAAACTCGATTCACAGTTGGCTTTGTTGTTTGATCAGACATGGCTCACCCTTCCCCTATAACTCAGTGATTCAAATAGTTCAGAAGGAACAGAACCTGTCAAACCAAGTGATTTCACAGGTGCCCAGTGATATGTCATATCATTGGCACAGAAATGGATGTTTACCTGCTGCCTGGTCACTGCTGGACCCAGTCACCACAGGCTAAGAGTGGAGGGTGGGTGTGCTTTCTCCTCTGGGGCTGGATCCCTGCCCCCCAGCCTGTAGGAGCCCCAGCCTAGCATCCCGGCTCCCACCTCCAGACGAACCCCAGTGCTTGGCCACCCGCCTTCACACTCACATCCAGGTAGTTGCGCATGGGTTCAAAAGGTATTCCTGAGTCCGGTTGTTTCTGAAGAAACTTGTAGGTCAGTCTGTAAGGATGCCTCTCCAGGTAATTTTTCAGCAGGTTTTTTTCCCGGAGATTTTCTCGCATGGACTTGATCTTCGTCAGAGGGATTCTTTCATGGGGAAAGGGAGGCAAAGAAGACAGCAACCCACTGCCCCGTGATTCAGTGCGACCACCACACCTTGCCTTCTGATCACACCGTGTATTTTCCAAGCATTTTTATGAGTGTCATTATCAGGACAGGCCATCCAACACAATGGAAAGACCATGGCAATGGACCGAGGTTTGAACACAGGTTCTATTGTAACCCTGGGTCAGCCATATGAGTTCTTGGAGCCTCAGTTTCCCCATGTATAAAGAAGTAGAATGATAATACCCCCTCCCATGAGTGTTTTGGGTATAAAAGTGAGATGATGGATGTCATGCACCTGACATAAAGAGATCTCGACAAATACAGCCATTACTATTGCTACTGTCATCTCACTGTCTCCTTCTCAAAGAAGTCTTGGGAGGCAGGTTGAGTGGGAAGCGTTATCCTCTTTTACAGGGGAGGAATCTGAAATGCAGGGGGTATGTGACTTGGCTGTGGCCACACTGCTTGTTAAGGCAAAACTGGGCCTAGAAGAAGTCCTCCTGATCTTTCTCCAGGGTTCTAGCAGAAGGGAAGGAGGCCAGGAGATGGGGGAATAAAACATAGAGAGTTCTGCACGTGCAGAGGCATCCAAAGAGCTAGAGAGATAGAAGAGACAGATACCGAGATGAAGACACAGAGACACAAACACACGGGAATGGGGAGAGAGAAGGGAGAAGACATGGAAGCAAATTCGAGAGAAATGCTGTCCCTAGATGGGACCACACCTACAGTTGCACAGGTTGTGCACTGAACAATTCTGGGGCGCACCATTCACCTACTCCATGTGCAAGTTGGAGTTGTTCAACCCTACAGGCCTGTCCCAAGACTCCTGGGCCCCACAGTGCACACGGCAAGCTACTCATCAATAAATGGAGACTTGAACTTTAAGACAGAGAATGCTTGCGTTCCCTTTTCTACCTCTGGATAGTGGTAGAAACAAGACAACAGTGAGAAAGAGCCCAGAAAGAGCTGATGCTACCTGCAGTCCCCATACTTACGTGACTAAGCACTCTGAGAAGGCCACCAGGCTGAGGACCGCGATCCACTTCATGCTTTCTTCCTGGATTCGTGTACTCAGGAAAGAGCGGGTTTTGAGCATACAGTGACGGGCAAGACCGGCTGGTTATATATGCTCTGACCTGCCTTAATTTTTCCCTTGGGGGCTGCTGATGGCCCCGGATAAGAAATACACATCACAGTGGTCAAGCATCAAAAAAAAAAAAAAAAAGAAAGAAAAGAAAAAATAAATACACACCTCCTGATAAGATAGATCTTTATCTCCATCTGTATTCCTGAGGAGAAAACTTAGAAGTGTTTCAGAATATAGAGATTTCTGCTGTAATCTCTGCCTTGGGGGCTTAGCTGGAAAAAAAAAAACAACACCAAAAAACAAAACACCGTGATCTAACAGAGTAGGGAAATGCCTGCTATCTTGGAGATAAAACACTGCCAAGAATACCATAGAAATAAGTGCGAGGCACTATGCTTGACATTCTTGCATGTCTCATGCAGTCTTCCCAGTGAGCCCAGCAGGTGTGCGTTGCTGCCTGCATCTGGAGATGAGATTACTAGGAGAAACAGGTGAAATGGCAGAGAGAAGGTGTTGGGACAGGCCACTGACATATGAGTGGCTTTCCATAGCGGGACAGAGGGCACAAATCAGGGGTCCTTATGATGCCAATCTGCTTCAAAGACCTAAGCTAGGACAGTATGATAATCATACAATTTTAATATTGGAAGAAATATGATGCATGCATCCCCAAGATATTTTACTCATCCAACAAACATTTATTGAGGACCCACGGTACGCTGGGGACTGGGCTAGATGCTGGGAAGTCAAATCAGACACAGGGGGCCCTTGCCTTCAGGGAACTGGGGGCCCAGGGCAGGCTCATGAACTCAAGGCCCAGGAGGCAACGGAAATGAATGAAAGGGCTGGACGGGCATCATGGACACAGGGCAGCATATGTCCCCCCACAAAGGGCAGCCTCTACTCAGCTCTGACCAGTGGCTGCCATGCTAGAAAGTGGCCTGGTTGGCCAAGTTTTCAAGAGAAGTCAGGACTCTGGATACTTATGTGAACTCCCCTGATTTTTAAATGTTAGCTACTAATTACATTTTTTTTTTCTTCCAAAATCGTAGTGTGAGCCAAACTTCAAGTAACTATGGGCTGGATTCAGCCTGCAGGCTGTGCATGTTTTTATTTCTGGCCGAGGTGGGAGTAGAGAAAGGACTGGGGAGGTGTTCAGTTCATGTTGGTTGAATGAATAAGAGACGGAAAGCATCCTAATCATATTAATTTTCCTTCCATCGGTAAAAAAGACCACCAGGGTTGGATAAACCAATACGCTTATTAACTTCCATTTGCTGAGCAGCTGGTGTAATTCTCCAGTAAGAGCCATGCCTTGGCAACACTCTGTCTGCCAAACCAAACATACAAAGGAATCATTAATTTTTAAGTGTCTTATCAATCAAAGAAAACAAAAACTGACTGACCACCCAGAGCTTCTGCTCAATCTGAGATGAACAGCCAAAGTAAAGAGAATTATTCCAGCCAAAGTAAAGAGAATGCAAATTATTTCTCCTTCCAGGACTCCTAGGGCCTCAGTGTTCCCATGTGAGATCTGTCCTGGTCTGTCCCTTGCATAGAAGAACCCAAGGTTGGCCTGGTACCCGGGCTTAGGTGGTGGATGGAGTGGAGGCTCTGCGTGTTACCCCTCATTATTCCACATTATTAAAATTCAGTTTTAGAGGTTCAACACCTAAGGAGGGAAGATTTGACAGAAGCTAGTAAATGACACACACACATATGCGGTCTGACAATTAAGTTCGGGAACTTGCAACAATGTTGCTAACCTTTTTTGATACCAGAGGGATTATTCATTATGAATTTGTACCAACAGGACAAACAGTTAATGAAGCTTACTATTTGGAAGTGCTGAAAAGGCTGCAGGATAAAGTTAGACGACCTGAACTTTTTGCCAACAATTCATGGCTCTTGCATCATGACAATGCACCAGCTCACACGGCACTGTCTGTGAGGGAGTTTTTACTCAGTAAATGAATAACTGTACTAGAACACCCTCCCTACTCACCTGATCTGGCCCCCAATGACTTCTTTCTTTACCCAAAGATAAAGGAAATATTGAGAGGGAGACATTTTGATGACATTCAGGACATCAAGGCTAATACGACGACAACTCTGATGGCCATTCCATAAAAAGAGTTCCAAAATTCATTTGAAGGGTGGACTAGGTGCTGGCATTTTGCATAGCTTCCCCAGGGGAGTACTTCGAAGGTGACATAGTGATATTCAGCAATGAGGTATGTAGCACTTTTTCTAGGATGAGTTTGTGAACTTAATTGTCTGACCTCGTATTGTTTTTAACTAAGCAATTCTCCTAGGAATCTATCCCAAAGATAGACTGGCAAAAATACAAAAAGATGTTGTACAAGCAATGTACTGTGATGTTATTTGCAGAAGCGAAAGATTAGAAATGTACCAGAAGTGACCATTAGCAGGGCAATGTCAGATAAGGTCTAGTGCATCCACACAACTGGGTATTATACAGGTGGAAAGAGGAATGAATGGGCAAGATCTCTAGTGTATACTGTTTAGTTTATAAAAAAAGAGGGGACAGAACCGCGTTTACCATTTGCTGCTTTTACATACAAGACATGTGCGCACACACATATATATATTTTTTCAATAATAAACAAGGGACGAATAAACCAAAAACTAATAAAAGTTGTAATTTAGGGCGAGGGGTAGGAATAGAAGTGAGATGTTTCTTGTTTTATGTTCAAGTTTGCAATCATGTAAATGTGTTACAGAAGCAAAAAATAAATATATAAAAATCACTACCCTCAAAATTGAGAACAAACTAAAATAAATGGGCCTATTTGTATCAAGTTGGTGACATAGCCACACAAAGCAAAACATTACTTCAAGTGGCTTTAAAATGCAGAATTTTGACTCTACATTTACAGTCACAGATATTGTCTAAGAACAAAAAAATTGCAAAAGAAAATGACCCCAGTGGAATCTGAAACTGTACCCGGCAACTTTATTGTCGGTCATATTGCTACGGTTACTTTGAAACAACTGCATGTATGTTCTAGGTTAAAAAAATTGTGCTAGTGTTGTTATGAAACCAGACTTGCAGTGAAGACATGTTACGTATAAAACAAGAAAGTTTAAGTAAAAACCCTGCAATCTTAAAACTTGAATTGGAAATATAAGTTTGCACTATTTTTTTTCCCCTAAAAATAGGTATTTCCTGGAAAGCGTAGAAGCAATGAAAACCTGATGACAGTGACTAGCCTGAGGCCCGGCCTTTAAATATTATTTTCCATTAGAGGATTCAGGGATTTTTGATGAGCTGGCTGCTTCCAGGGCTGGGTGAAGAAATGGACAAGATGAACCTGGAGCGTCTTCAAGTGCCAGATGGTGGGGCCTGACAAAAGACTCAGGAATCAATATGCAAAAGCTTCCACGGGCCAAAAAGTAGGACAATTTGAGCAGTACATCAAATCAATTGGAACAAATTAAACATATAAAAAGCCACGCGTTTCACAGGATATTATACAACATCTAATATGTCACCATGGGTGCTTGCTAAGGCACCAATGAATTATTCTGATCATTGAGGGAGAAAGGGAAGTAAATCATCAGTATTTATTGCTATTTTTGTCTGTAAGAAGCATATTTCACATAGCTACAAATAGTTGATGAAGGAAAATTCTTCTTTATTGAAGAATTCCAGCAATTAAATTCGGAAGGAATAGTAGAATTAGGAAATCACTGTTTTGTAACTCCTAATGAAACAGTGGACCATTGGTGGATGTTAAAACCGTATGACGAAGGGTCGTGGGGAAGTTCATAACAGACAGACGAGGTTGGCAGCATCAGGCCCCACAGATCAATCTCGATGTCTATAAAAGTGGGGCAACTAGAAATTATGTGCTTCTTGAAGTGATATAATAAGAAATATATGGAACTACCTATGAAGTACCAATACAAATTTTTGAACTTGAGTCTAGATTTAACAACGAGTTTTCAGGAAATACATAGTTAAAGGAACAAGAACGCAATCTCCCAAACCCAATACTCAAGACATTCTGTAGGACAAAAGAACCTACCTGCTTCCACTTTTTGAACAAATAAGTGGCATAAAAAGGGGGGAGACTTATTTACTAGAAGTCTTAAGAAACAACAACCGAATGCAGCATATGTGAACCTCTTCTACACCCTGATTCCTAATTTGGCTAAATAAACTGTTAAAAAGGCATTACTTTATTTTATTGTTTAGAGAATCAGAAAAATGTGAACATGGAGTGGATATTAAGTAATATTAAAGTTGTTAATTTTGTTTGGAATAAAATAGCATTGTGATTATATATGTTTTGTGAAATGGCAAGCTCTGCTTTAAAATACTTGAGCAAAAATGAATAAAGTATTTAAAAATTTTTAAATGAGGGTCTGGATAAAACAAAGATTTTTCGTAGCTTCTATGGATTTAGTTGTGTCCACCCTCAAATTCATACATTGAAGCCCTAAATCTCTGGTGTTTGGAGATGAGGCCTTTGGGAGGTAATTAAGTTTAGATGGGGTCGTGAGGGTGCCTGCTCCCACCACCCCTCAGCACCACAATGTGAAGACACAGTGAGAAGAGGGCTGTCTGCAAACTAAGAAGAGGTTCCCCAAGAATCAAAATGGCTTGCGCCTTAATCTGGGACTTCTAGACTCCAGCCTCCAGCCTGTGGCAGCTGGGCTGGCTAAGACAGTCATGTAATTCTTGATGCTGAATGATGAAATCAAACATTCATGATACTGTTCTTTTTTTTTTTTTTTGTAATAAGAAGTTTAAAACACTTCCATTTTGAAGTCTGTAGTGCTGCTCTGAGGGGCCCAAGAAAAGCAGACCCGGGCAGGCCCCCATGGGCTGAGTCACGGGAGCCTGACCTGTTCATTATTCTATCTCCTCTCCTGCTAACTGCCCCCACACCCCCCCAGGTCTGCTTTGTCCAGTTTCAGACTTCGAGGAGTCA